TTATTTTGTATATTTAGTGTGAAACCTCAAAGTAAGATGGCACTCCGGTGGTTGCCTTGTTCGAGTATTGAACGTTAGAGAATTATGACAATGCTGACACTATTGGAAGAATCAATCATTCGCAGAGATTTGATTTGGAATACGTTTCTTAAAAAAAAATAAAAGGTTGTAGAGTGGACCAACTCAATCCGTAACTAGCGTGATTTAGGCTTAGGACATTGAAGCCTATATTTGTTAATTTGCCAATATTACTTTGTGATGTATATAACATGTAATTCACCTGCTTTAGGCGATTGAAATCTAAGCGAAGGGTACTTGATTAGAGAGATTCATGTGTGGTCACGGAAGAGAAGTGGGTGATGAGTAACAGGGGGTGGGGGGGGGGCGTAACCGTTGATCGGTGAGTAACTGTTGGTGGTGGTGAGTCACCGTTGAGGAGCCACAGAGACGTCTGGCTGGTTGGTTTTGGTGTTTGGCTCCTGGCCCATCCCGCCAAACACGCACCGAAACTACGACGTTGGTACAACGTTCGAACAAGTTTTAACACCTAATCAGTTATAACAACCAATATAGCAAGTTGTAACAACGTTCTAATACGAGGATTGAGAGGTGGGACCAAAGGGGTTGAAACTACTCACGTAAGCTCAACTTGGCGAGTTTTACAGCTTAAAGAGCACAACTGGAACTTGAAAGCAAAGAATTTTACAAAGCACCTGGCACAAAAATCAGTGTCCAAAGAGCTGGATGAGGGTTCATGTCGAGTTGTAGACTGATAGGCAAGCACTGACTACACTTGCACACTTATGCGTGCACACGCACTTAAATTCACTTTACTGCTTTTGTCAGCCACGTCATGATCCCCCAGTTAGTGCATGCATCCTCATGCATCAGATTGTCCCTTGTCCCACTGCAAGGTCTCGACCGCAAAAGAAAATCTCTCATGAATGCGGTTCTGCCATTATTAGACGATATAATTGCCGGTGTGATACCGTAGTTCCCGTTTAGAATATAATTTATTGGTAAGAAAGCTGTTGGGAATATGGTGTGTTGGGGAAGGGAATTAAAACTTAATGAGTGTAAGGTAATGTAAGGCAACATGTAAACAAGGTTCGTTGAACTTTTGTTTATATGTTGCTATTAAACTTTGGGTGCCGGGGAAATTTACTATAATTTCTTTGGCTTGGTGAGCAGTCAGGGCGCGTGACTGGAGGACCAAGCCCATGTCCTTGGTGCTGTCGGCATGTCTTGGAATATCTAAGTGTGGCCATGCTACAATCGGTGAATAATAATATCTACCGGTTTTGTACGGTTAAGCAAGCGAGTGCTTAACACTTAGTGTTTGTCCTGTTTAATCGCCCCAAAATGAATCTTAATGTGCTGATGAAATAGACGAACACTTTTTCCTACATAAATGTTAGGTTTCACCAGTTTCTTATTGTTAGTATCCTCGCTACTGCGCGAAAGTAGTTAATATATTGAATAACTACGTTTTGTTCCGGATTCTTAGGTAACATGATTGGGTAATATACAAAAATATAACAAAATTAGCAGTAGACAGTTGGTGTATCATAAAGGTATTAATTACAAGACAATCTCTTTACTGGCGCTTCTGTAGTTTTAATACAGAACATCTGTATCACATTAGCGTGGCAATTTGGCGTTGATGTAGCTCTTCTGACCTCTGACTTTCACCTCTCATTCGCAGCCTCTTTAACCAGTGGTCTTTTACCGTGGAGCCTCGTCTGGGTAAACTGAAGCAAGGGAACCTCGCTCCACGTTCCATTTGTTTACTAATGGAAATCTCTGCGCTCGTATACGGTCTGGCAAACGGCTATTGAGTACCTGGAAACTAATATGGTAAAGCAAGATAGCAAACTAGTTGATTTGATATTATTTATGTTGCAGAGTTTACATTGCAGTACTACGAAGATTAAACTTTGCATTTGTAATCATTGACTGTATTATGTAGTACTGTGTATTCAAAATAATAGCATTGTTATAGTTCATTTGTTATGCACCTCGTGCCCATCCTGTTGGCGGTAGTGAAAGAGACTAGAGGCACATAATGGGCTCAGGAACTCAACTCTTAACAATTAGCTAAGCAAGTTAATCTTGTTAATTAAGCCAGTTACAAAGATTAATGAATTATTTTATCAACAATGGGTTAGAGATCGACCACGTGTAGTTTATGCTAAGCTACTTGTATATGCGGTGATCCAGATTCATAATTTTATATATGCGGTGATCCAGTTTCATAATTTGACTTGTGCACCCCCCCGCCCCATCCTCATCCAATGGGCGAAGGTAGAAAGATTACAATTACTCGCATTTACTACATAGTTGGCAACTGGGAATATTTAGCAGTTTCTGATAGATCATTTTATCCTCCTCTTCTCGTTATGGTGAGCACGTCCTCTTCAATAGTGCGTCGCATTTTTGACACAAGACCCCTTAGGCTGAAAACTGATGTACTGGAAAAGACAGCAGAGCTCAAAATTGACGCGATGTCCAGTTTTCTATTTGTGGGTCCTCGGTTTGGTTAGGTTCTGGCAATTTAGTTCTGTACCAGAGTTTAATATGACATTGTGAATGCTGGCGAGGACGGGCTGGATCATCGGCCCCACAGCTGCTCACCGCCTTACTAGCTCCTGTAAAAAAAAAAAAAAAAAATGAGCATCCCCGATGTCAGTTACACAGTCGTTCCCCCTATAGCAAATTGGCTCCACATACTTTTATTTAATGTTCAATGCCCGCTTCCTCGCACGCTAAAAATACGAAGCGCATTTATAAGGTGTAGTAGTCCCTGATGGCGAGGTTGCCAGGCGGCAGAGATCTGGCTAGACTGTGTGGCGTTTCCATGGTAACATTCTCCCCTCGACGCCCATGGTGGCGATGGCTTGTCTGGTATACTGGTTGTGTAATGAATGATGGAAAGCTTTCGCTAGAGTCCAGGGTGATGGGAAGGGGGATATAAGGAATTATTTAGTGCGTGGATCAGATCGTCGCGAGTTGGAGCCAGATTTAAAACCTGTTCCGGCAATTTAGCTGGTCGGCTGGGTTCATTTTTGTTAATTATCTTGGCCCTGTGTAGGCGTTTCGCGGCTACATTTAAATTTAAAGTTATTTTTTCGAATTTAACTATTTTTGTACCTGAATCAGTACAAATTTCGCGGCTCAAATCAGTAAGTTTCGCGGCTACGCGAAATGTAGCCGCGTTTCGCGGGTACATTTAAATTTAAAGTTTTGTTCGAATTTAACTTTTTGTACCGTAACGGAAGAAATGTGAACGATTTTGGAGGTTTAACAAAATCAAACCCAATTCGAACATTGGTGGCAATAGCCGTGTTTGGGGAGGTATGACTTGGAAAGTTTTTTTCCTGTCTGGTCTGTGTGTTGTCCCTCACAGACAACACTGACAATTTCAGCTCCTGAGGGAATTTTCAGGGAAAAGCGCCAAGCCATTACAACTATATAGCACTTGGAAGGGAGTCAGGATAAGGATTTCGGATGGGATGGGAGGGAAGGAATGGTGCCAAACCACTTAGACGGTCGGGGATTGATTGCCAACCTGCATGACGCTCTACCGTCCAGCTCCTGAGCGACCTTTTTTTTTAAATTTTGGTGAAATTTAAAGTATTGCATTAGCATAACGTTTAGTCTCGTCAGATGCTTAGGTATATCTGATGGACAAGGCCACCTTACAGAGGGGGGGGGGGGGACATTTATCTAAATTGATCGGTGCCAACGTATGAAATTAATTAATAATTGTAATAAAATGTGTATTTTATTACAATTATTTATACTATTATTTATACTAAAACATTTCGCATATGCTTATGAAACGCTGCTCAGTGTAATTATATTGAGGGGGTGGGGGGGGGGGGGGTAATTTCAGAATGGGAAAAATTTCAACTCGATTTTCCACACTCTTGCCTTCAGAATGAAACTTTGTATGGGAGATCCTTGGGAGTTTATCACCTACTTGGCCAACCAAACTGTGATAAATTTCCTACTGTGATAAATTTGAAACCTTTATAAAATGTCACTTTTATAACTTCAGTAGCAGCATATTGTCTCGATATACAGGTATATACAAGCGGACAGCTTTGTGACATTTTTTTTTTTCTTGTACTTGCTTTCACAATTAACTGAATTTTGAAAATTTGTGAACAAAATGTATGCACGCTGCCAGCATAAAAAAAATGGATAGATCAATTGTCGGCGATAGTACTGGTTTGAACGTTGCATTGAAAATTCGTTTTGAAATAGCACTGTAAATGCCCAGTACAGGGAAATTGTTTTATCTTGCGTAAGAATAGTTTCTAAAGTCCCGGTGGCCTGGAAGGGACACCTAGTCTTGCTGCAGTGTTTTACTCAATGTGTTTTGAACTGGAGCGCGCTCCGACCTTTAACGGCCTTCGCCGTTAATGTTGTTACTGGTTTATTGACCTTTAGATAAGATATGTCCTGTTTGTTCTCCCTTGTGGCCTGACGAACGAGAAACTGTGTTGCCTGGTGGAACAAACTGGTCAATACTGGTGAGGGGTCTTGTAGTACAGTTGGCTTCGTGATCGACTTGCAATTGAATGGGATCCCTTGTTTTATTCCCGGGCCCAACAACTTTTATCCGGCCCGGGAATAAAGCGAGGGATGTTCATCTAGCAACAAATGGGTACCTGGGGTTAGGCAAATGTTATGGAGTTGCATCCTAGAGGAAGGCCAGTAATAGAGCTTGGAGGGGGATCACGATACAAGCCTGAAGTATACATAGACACAGGCTCTCTGTCCCCCGACGAAATTGGTAAATTAGTTATTATTGCATATTACTTGGAGGCAAGGTATGGTACACGGCCTAATGGATCGTGGGAGCACGTGTATGCATGTGTGTGTGTGTGTAATATCTGCAAAGGTAAAGGAAGGTAATTAAGTGAACATTTTAAGTTAGCATGTCTATATAGTATATTATATATAAGAAGCTAATCATACTGTTTACTCCTCAGCACCCAGAGTATAGCGAGGACGAGCTGAGCAAGCTCTACCAACTTTTCTGCCGCTATGCTGAGCCTAGCACGAAAAAGGGCACAATCTCCCTAGACAGCTTCAAGAAGTTACTGGAGGCTCTCGAGCTGACGCAGACTCACCTTGTGGCAAAAGAAACTTACGATAAGGCCGCAAAGGATGGGAAAATCTCACTCGAAGAGTTCATGAAGCTCGTCAAGGAGTTGACTGCCAAGACTGGCAAAATAAATTTGGATGTAAGTTTTATAAGCATTATTTACCCAGTTGTGTGTGTGTTTGTGTGCACGTGTTGTGTTTTTACATGGCAAATGCCTTGGTTTAATGTTTTTTTTTTCTATTCAGTAGTTCATATATTCTTAGATAGCTATAAAGGGAACACTTGAATTAAAAACTGATAGGTGCATTAATGGTTTCTCATTCTCTAAGCACTTAATGGGTGATGGTTTATAAATTGGTTTTTGCAAGTGGGGGACTTGGTGTCTCCCACTTAGGTTTGGACCCCTCGTAGTCACCCACTTCTAAGGCATCCCTTGGCTGCTCTTATAACAAATATCTACCAAAAGTAGGAATTTAGTAAAGAGGCTGACAGTGACACCATCACTACGGGTCGAAGTCCTGTTTTGTCACCATGTTGAAAGGGAACTTCAAGTAGCAGTGTATTGTCGCCTACAATCATTGTCCATCCTTCCAAAAAAAAAAAAACTTGTCTGTGGTTCACATTGTCATTAGTTTCCCTAGATGTCAAAGACCCCTAGCTTGTCCATCTGTCTGCATTTCAGGGATTGGCTGGAGATAAGTGTCGCCACTTTTAGATGCTCCTTTGGGCTGGATTTTGCTCGGTGTGTGAGAGATTGAAACTATATGAACTTAACTGAAGTGCATTTATCCTGCGGGGGCTGGCTCTCCGTCTGCGCTCTATCAGTACTCCGGTGGATATTACCTTAGTTATGGCAGTAAGGCTATTCTGGGTCTGTTCCTTTGTGGCACTAGACTCTAACCTTCATGTCTTTTTGCTGCTTTGGCTTTAGTCTTCGCAGCGGGGCAACATTTGCAAATTTTAAAATGATAGCAGATGGCCTCTTTATCTTCACAATGGGAAGGAATGGACGGGGGGGCCTCCTTCCTGTGGATATGTATCATTCGGTATGCCACAACTGTTTGTTTACATCAGTTTGGGAACCACAAAATCCTGGTATGTGGTTTCATTCCATTATCACAGTTTTTTCTTTGGTTGTTCTACATCTTGACTAAAAAGAGTGCGAGATAATGCTTGTGGATTGTGATTTTTGCATGATCTAGTGTTGCCAGTTCTGCTCTCGGCCTTGGTGTCCTTTCCAGGTGTCCCAGGCTGCCACCCACCCCACCCCACCCCACCCCACCCCACCCTACCCTTCTCCTCGTGCAGGCCAGTGACCGTTAGTGTTGCAAGAGCACTGCTAGTGTGGGCTGATCATCTTGTGTGGAGTTTCTAGGGCACGTCAACCAACATGTTTACAGGGAGCATGTTATGGTGCTCATTAATAAACGTCTGCACGCCTCTTGTCAGTAAGAAAATGGTCGGGTGGTATTGAGGAGCAATTTTCTACTCTATCTGTTCCTAGTCTTGTTTTTCTTGCTTAACTTTTTTATTGAAAGATAGCTAGTGTCCAATATCATCACTTCCTATATGGCTGCTCTGACAGAGCTGCTGCTTCTGGGCTTTGGCAGAGCGTTCTCTAGTTCTCCTCTTGTGTAACTTTACAAGGCATTCTTTATGCAGACGATGAGTCGCAATAACGTGGCTGAAGATATGATAACCAAACCACACATCAGAAGATGAAGAAACGACGAAGTTTCGGTCCGCCCTGAACCATTATAAAGTACCCTTATCAACACACGACTTGATAATGGCCCCGGACGGACCGAAACATTGTCGTTTCTTCATGCACTGATGTGTGGTCTGGTCATCAAGGCATTCTTTAACACGTCTTTGCCTGTGTGCCATCTGGTCCCATGATATATGGTTTTAGGTTCTTAGTATTGGTAAGATACAGCTGTCTCAATTTTTGTAAATGCATAGTCTTTCAAGGCTCTTTTGTATATTTCGGTCCTGGCTAGAGGCAATCAGGTTGGTTAGCTTCGTGCTCTGTTTTGGCATTGTTTGTCACTTAGGTTTGGGGATGTGTTTTACAACTTCGACAGGATTCTATTGGCTAAGAAAGTGTCGATTTTGTCCGGCCGACTCTCAATTTTTTCATTTGTGGGTCGGTTCTTGTTTCTTGAAATTTTCATATCACTAGTTACTCTTTCTGAACCCTCGTGTCCTGGTATCCTGTCCTGAAGCAAAGTTCTTCCAGTTGCTACATAGTGTTATAGCACATTCCACAGGCTTACCCTAGTGTTCTCCCAATGTTCTGCATAAGATATTTCGCTTGAAAGTATCCATCTTTATCAAGACGTCATTTTCATTCGCATAGATCCATCGACACGAGTGTTCTGCTCTTGTGGAAATGTGAATATTAAAATGTATTTTAATATTTATTTGAATATTTTAGTGTAAAAGATCATTCAATAATAAATCGGCTTAGACTAATTTTAGTGGTTAAATTTTTTTAATGTTTGTCTTATGCCATCATTTGTACTTGTAATTAATGCTCGTATTAACTAGTGCCAACCTAAATAGTCGTATGCCTTTCATTGACAGGATAAAGGAATATTCAAAATTTCAAATTCAATTATTTTATTCAGGAAAAGTACTGTTCATACATGATTTGCAAACATAAATTTGGATTTATAGATAGAGCTAGTACATAAAATACCTAAAGCCACTAATACACATAGCGTTTCGGGCAATATTGTAAAAATATTGTAAAATATTGTATATTGTAAAATATTGCATTAATATTGTAAAATCTGCAACTACTGACAACTGTTATTGAATCAACTCAATGATTCGGATCGTGCAGTGTTCGGATGTTAATTTTATTATGAAGTTAAACAATGCATGTGTAATCTTAATGTGTGTGTGAGTGATGGTGTTGTTTCTGCAGCTGGTGGTGAAGTTGGCAGCGCAGGAGGAAGTCAACGTCGATGATGTAGGTGTTGGCGGAGCTAAGAGATTCTTCGAAGCCAAGGCTCGAATTCTTGAGGTAGGAGACGCTGCCTACCGAGCCTTTGAAGATAAGAAAAAGGAGGAGGAAGACAAGAAAAAGAGGCAAGAGGAATTCAAGAAGAAAAGGGAGCAGTTCCAGCCTGCTGCATAGAGGAGAATGTCTGATAAGATCACTTGTAATCTGCAGGCTAAAATAATCTGTAGAACTGTAGTAATAATCTGTAGTACTGTAGTAATAAACAGTGACACATTTCATTTTGAAAGAATTCAAATTAAGGTTAAAAAAAAAAAAAAAAAAATTTGAAGGATTCTTCATATTAAATTCTTAGTTTTTATCATCTAGCATTCCAATTGTTTTCAACCTGTTAACTTCTAAATTTGGCTACATCTGGTTAACATGCTGTATAGCGAAAAAAATAGATATGCCTTAAAAAAAAAAAAATTGGCTTTACTATCTAGTACAATGATTGTAGTAATTTAAGGTAAAAGTAATATAGGTATATTAATGTTCATTTTTGAATGTTGAGGCGTCTCTTTGACTCTAGGTGTGCGAGCCTGTCGGTGCTACAAAGTAAGCCATTTAGTTATATATATATTAAGAGTAATGGTGAAGTTCACATTTGTCGGACTATATTACAGTATGTTATACAGTATAATATAGATATATATTTAAGCCCATTGTCAATCTTTTAAATTTGGGTATATACAGACAAGCCTTGAGGCACACAATTACAATAAAACTTCAGATTTGGCAGTGTCTTGGTCTTACTTTTAAGTTGCAGGTAACTAATACTTCTTAATAATTGTTACACTTGTTAAGGCATTTGGCCCTTTTCAGCTACCATCACCACTTATCATTCCATAGCAAGTTAGTCATATAAGTATTAGTACATATAACCACCCCCACCTCTTAGCAATAGATTGCACAGCTCTTGCCACATTAAATAACTAACGTTTTAGGTTACCCTGTATGACCGTAGCGCACCCAGGTGTTTAATATGGTGGTATGTTATAATATGGTTGTTCACGGGCTGTAGGAAGTTGTGGTTTTGATTCTCCGTGTGTTGATCTACTTTATGGACCAGAGGAAAGCCTTTCTTCAGTGTGTAAGATATCATTATACAATAGCTGGTAAGATGTGCTACTTTTAAAAGATAACTCGGTAGGGTATACAGTACAGTATGATGTCTAGATTTTTAAGAAAAAGAGTTAAAATCTTTGAGTGGAGTCATATGATAGAATAATTAAAAGTACTTTCGCACTTGCCTGTATCTGCGTGATTTGTGATAAATTGATTCCACTTTGCCTAACATTTTGTTTAATTTGATTAATCCTGTGGTGTTGACAAGAGGTAAAGAGCCTGTGTCTATTTCGGGATTTGTTTTAAGCTTACAAAATAAAATCTGATTTTCGTGAAATGTGAAAAATTCCAAAATCTTTAATAGTAACCCCTGTTAAACATGTACAGGGGTTATATTGAGAGAGAATTCTCATTAAATGTATATTCTAAGGTCCTGATAATGGAAAACTGGAAATTTATGATTAGATTAGATATTTTTGTTCCTCCCGCTTCCCCTTTCCTCCCTCCCTTCTTTATGTATGTCCTCGTAAAGGCTCTGGCCTGTGTCAGGCAAGGAGATAGTGGTTCTCAGATTTGCTGGGATCAATTGTATGGATACTTTGCAAGTACGCTAGGTTTTCTGGTGGCCACTGGCTGATCATTTAAAAGTTGGGAGTTGAATTCCCGACTTTTGGACGCTGTTAGGATATATATATATATTTTTTAAATAGTATGATTTGTCTACTGTTGCTTGCATGTGCTTTATGTTGGATTGTCTGGTAGTTTCCTCCAGAAGGGATCTGGGGGTCTTCTATACTGATTGGCTGACTTGTTTAGCTAGTCAGCTTGCCTGACACTGGTATTGTGATGCTTGTGCTGGCTTGGCTGGGATTGCCATACAGGCCACATCGCTTCCTGAACGTGGTTGTGAATCGAAGCAGCGGTTTGGCTTGGTCAATGGTTTACCTGGGTTATGACTTTGATTCATCAGAAGTTTCTGCTTTGGGTTATAATTGTGGGTCTGGGGGAAGCTATGAACTCTATTGGTGTTTTCTCCTGATAATTGTGTAATCCAGGATGTCTACATAGCACTTGGAAAAGATAAAAGGATAAGGACCTGGGGTAGGACGGGGGAAAAGAACGGTGCCCAATCACTTGGACAGTCGGAGATCGAACGCCGACCTGCGTTGTTTGGCATTTAATGTACGAAGAAAGGTGGTCAGACCACAACTTTGACGCCTGGGGGGTCACTACACAAGTACGTCATACCACACGAGCCTATTACCCTTTCAAACATTAATTTCATATTAAATCTTAAATTGCCTCATACGAGTCTTCATTGACTAGTCTACTTCCATAGTCCTCTAATGCCCTTAAAATGCTCATACTTCATTCTTTAGTGCTTATAAAGGTTTCCCTAGGCCACCTACTTCAATAGGATGCTTTTAATAATTACTTCCCTAGGATGCAACACACCAGTTGCTTAACTCACGGGGTATCTATTTTTACTGTTGGGTTAACAGAGGCATTAGGGGGAAAGGAAACGTAACTCGACTGTTCTATCCTGCTCAGGGACTGAACTCTGGTCCCTCGATTATGAGCCAGGGACGTAGACTATTGTGCCACAGAACCCCCCTTTAATAAAAACGTTCATCTGACACGTGCAAATCGATAATCTCTGCTACAAAGTAAACAAGGCAATCTTTGTTTTAGTATTGGATACAACGTCGGTGGCGTTTTCAATACTAAAGGTGATGGGTACATCCTCTGGTACACGCTGGCAGGGTGAGGCAGCACGGTACGCGTCCTGTGCACCCTCTGGTGGTGGAAGCATATACTGTGCAAGGAACGCTACTAAGAGAACATACCCTAATGCCAATAAGAACCGAACGTCGCCTAAAAAGCGTAAAACACACCAGTACAGCCAAAAAAAATGATACGCACTTGTCACTGACTTTGTCGCTGTTGGGGCGCGTCTCTCGCTAGTGTCATAGTTTAGAGCCAAATAACATTCTCGACAATAGGCATTCCCCCATGATGCCGCCGCCTCCTCCCCCCCTCCCCCCCCTCATCCAAAGATACTACCACCCCCACTAGATGCCGGCCCTTAACCCCCCAAAAGGTGGAGAGTTTTTAGAGAGGTCTCTAGCCCATTCCTGTGTTGCTCCACATATCGCGTTTGTGGTGTTCTCCCTCTCCTATGTACAGGAGGCTCGTCAGGACGCGTCAATGGCGCTGTGCGAGGGGCCAGCTGGCTGCCAGCGCATCTGGCGCTGTGCGAGGGGCCAGCTGGCTGCCAGCGCATCTGACGCTGTGCGAGGGGTCAGCTGGCACTGTGCGAGGGGCCAGTTGGCTGCCGACGCATCTGGCGCTGTGCGAGGGGCCAGCTGGCTGCCAGCGCATCTGACGCTGTGCGAGGGGCCAGCTGGCTGCCAGCGCATCTGGCGCTGTGCGAGGGGCCAGCTGGCTGCCAGCGCATCTGGCGCTGTGCGAGGGGCCAGCTGTATACCTAATACACATACTTTCACCAGAGATGGTTCTCCTAGAGCCCTAAGCCTCAATCCAACCCGCTGTATGTATGAATGTTTGTGCAAATGACAAATTACATCCAGTAGTATTTTGGGTATTATATATATAGCAACTTGTAAAGCTAGCACAATTGTGTGGATTTATATTATTTAATTTGAAATGTGGGTACTGACATTTTAAACATGACAATGCAAGTTTAACGTTTTTACTGTAGTGAATTTAATATGGGTTACATTTTATATTGGTATATATTAGTTTAGTTGTTTTTTGAAGCTACATTAGATTCTTGATCTGGCAAAAGAATCATAGTTTGTTAATGCGGCACTGTATACTGGGCCTAGAGGTTTTAATTAATGAGAATATAATTGTGTACTGACCTGTAGACAAAACATTCTAATTACAATAATTTTAAGTCCTATTTTAAGAAAGGTCATATAAAACCTTTTTTTATTAGGAGTCTGTTCAAAAATTATTTGCCTTTAACTTTCCATGTCTTGAGTCAATCAATGGGAAGATTGGGGATTGTTTTTTATCTTGTGGTGTGAGTCTACACAGAACAATGTGTATTGCTTCTAGGTTTACCATGTTTAACCCTTACATTGTTCCCCTCGCATATGGTTTTTTTTAAATTTGATGTTACACTATTTTTTAATTATGGAAATAGGTGCGCAGTTAAGGGTTAATGTGCTTCATGGTGTCGATAGCTGGAGTGCATTACTGTACTTATTACTGAAAGTCATTGGGAGTTACTACAAGTATCATGTATTAACGTCATAGAACCCCATACACAGATGCCTTTTTGTTGATGTTTAAGTGAAGGGAATGAGTATAGTGTGGACTGAGTGACAAAATTGTGTGTGTAAAGTAGGTGCTTGTTGAAATTGGTGTAATCCTAGGTATTTTTTTATCATGTTCTATTTGAATTCTATTTGAATGCGTACACACACACACACACAGTGCTCCAATAGCGAACTCTGGAACACCACCATACAAACTGCTAAGGAGGTTGTAATTAACTTCCTGTGGAGCCAGTTTGTCCATTTCCTGGCCTGACAACCTGTCCCTTCCACCATGCTGTCAGCTCTCCTAACATGCTACCTAACTGAACTCTTAGCTAATGCTATCTGTCTTCACAATATCCCAATGGCCCCTCTGGGCCACTCGAACATCAATAGAATCCTCACTGAATTTGATACCTTTGATGACGCTAGCTTTGTGCCTGTAGGTCCTGAGTGAATATTTAGGACCTTTTGTATGTCTCGCGACACATATGGTGGTAGTAAGTCTTCCCGGCTTGGTGTCTTTTGATAAAACTTCACAATACCCAGTTATGCTGCTACTCGTATATTTGTAGTAAAAATTAGTAGATGTATAATGCAACAGTGTGGATGTAACTATGCTTGGTGGTGGTACTTTTGGCTAGTCGAACAATTGTTCTATTGGATCTAATTATAATAGGTTGTCAGTGTTCAATTTAGCATTATAGTTTGCCTCCCCCCTTTTGGGTTGCAAATAATAAGGGTGTTGGTGTAAACACCATAGCAGGAGGTCTAGTCTCTCATGGTTTGTGTTCTCTTGATCATTTGAGTAATGCCTGTTTTCATGCTGAATTAGATCGTGGTGTTGGTCTAGAACTACATTATCTGTAAATTTTGTTGGTCATATTACTTAAATTATTGTTTTTGGACATTCACGCTGTATTGTTGTTGGCCCTTCACACTGCAGTAATACGTTTTGGTAGTTCTCTACACTGCAGTAGGCTGTCTGGTTGTCCCTCCACGCTGCAGTAGGCTGTCTGGTTGTCCCTCCACGCTGCAGTAGGCTGTCTGGTTGTCCCTCCACGCTGCAGTAGGCTGTCTGGTTGTCCCTCCACGCTGCAGTAGGCTGTCTGGTTGTCCCTCTACGCTGCAGTCCAGTTGGTCGTCTATATGCTGGCTAGTCTTAGTCTTAGCGATTCATGCCATCATTCATGATTTGTCTTCCAGAGGCTGCTGGTCCCCTCATTTTCACATGTCCAAAAGCATGATAATTTTGGCCAGTAAAGTTAAGTCGTGAATATCTTCAGGCCAGAACTGGCAGATGAATTTGAAAATACAAACGGCAGTTGGCGAATCCATTATTCATATAAAAGTTCAATATAACGCATATACTTCTTGCAGTTATATTAGGATCTAGATCTTGTGTCAAATGTGTGGACAAAGCAAATTTTGCTTTAAGTAGATAAAGCATTTTAACAAATCAAGTTCTACATAGTCTCCCCGGCTTGACGCCTTCTTTTGATAATTACCTACTTAAACTATGCAAAGGTCTTAATGCTTTAACAAATTGTGGTATACTCCTGTACAGGTCTGTGTGAAGGACAGTGCTCTGGAACACAGACGCCTGTTGTGACGAAATTGACAATGTTACGTCTATACAAACATTTTCAACTACAACTCGCACAATATGAATGGGGAACGATCAACCTGTCCTCTTACAAATTACGTCTGAATTTGGCCGTTTACCTGTATGGCCGAAAATGGACGTAATTTGAAAATGGAAAAATAATTGAAAATAAATTTTGAATTTTTTTTTCCAAACAGCAAGTTAATAAGTGTCTTCGAATAGGAGAACTTCTTGACCTCACCACCTAAGGTTTCAAAACGTCATGAAACCTTTAATTGAAAGTTTTCTCTCCTAACCGAGTAAGCCGGAGGACTCAAACAGAAAATGGGACAGTATATCACTTTCGTGAGCCGATTTCATTTCAAATTACATCCATTTTTGGCCATAGCGCACATACGAGCGAAAAGTGAAATTATTTTAAGACGGGTTGAGTGGTCTCGACGAGGACACGAAGCCTGCGGCTTGTCGAAAGTTCCCATTTACCTTGATAGTGATTAGTTATCGCTCTTTTACAGTTGCTTAAGATTAATCATGTCGCCTGAATATCGAAGTTTAGACTTGAATCAGTTATTTTCTTAACACATGGGCGAAAATTGGAAATAAAAAAATATATATCCCAATTCCAACTCAATATAATAAATGGAAACATGAAGCTCCTGCCAGCAGGCAGATGCTTGGAAGTCAGACGAAGTCAGACTGAGGGACAGCAGTTGGGGCAAGTTGAATGTTGCAAAGTGAAGGGCAGCAACTTGGGCGGGTGGAGTGGGTGGGGATGCAAGCTGAGAGGCATGGGTAGGTGGGAGAGAAGGGTGGGGGGGGGGGGGGACGACGACGGAGGTGTTGGCAGCGCGCAGCTGGGAATTGATCTGCGCTGCCTTGGGTAGCGAGGGGCGGCCCAGCGCAGGAGGGGAGCCACAACCACCCCACACAATATACACACCACCACCTCCCTTACTCCTCGCCTGCAGCTCTCCGTGACCTGTGAGTACCTAGGGTAACTGCCCTGCCTGGAAGAAACGCTCGAGTCGTAGCATTAAAATATACGACAGGCGCCAAAGGCTAGGCAGAAGGCTCTCGTGGCCGTGGTCCGCTAGTAGTGGAGCGGACAGGTGCGTCCACCAGCGAGCTGGTTGTGTCTTGGCTCCTTCACTGAAGAGATGCCGCCTACCTGCGACGTGTGTGTGTGTGTGTGGCTGGCTGCCCTGGGCCCACCTTCACACCACCAGCCTCTACAGTGAATGTTTAAGATCTGAAACATAATGTTTTAAAGTGACTTTGGTACCTTGATTTTCTGTTTGTTGATATTGTGGTAATGTGCGCGCGCGCAGATGGTACTGTTGAAAGATATACAAAATATTAATTTGGACTATAAAAAAAATGCAGAATATAAGGTAAAATATTTATAATATTAAAATACAAATAAACAGGTATAATGCAATCGGCTTTTCAAAATAGGGTTGTTGATATGGCTTTGAGACAACCGAAAATACAATTTGGTGTTTATTCTCCAAGTCTAAGGTAATGTGAGATAATTTTCGCTGTTACTTCATGTGTATTATACTAGTATAGCATAATACAATATAATACAACTATAATGTATAGTTCGTGTAGATCATTCAGGTGCTCGGAGTCCGTCTATTCCAGTACCACCCGTGTTAAATGGCCCGTATGTGTACGTTTCAGATGTAAACAAATCCTAAATGTTGATGTAGGGTTTTAGATTTCTTAACTTAACACATCTTTCTTATAGCAGTATAATTTTAACAATAAAGGTATGGGCACCATCATCTAATTTACTTAAAATACGTTTATTGAGACAATAAAATACATCTCAAAAGGGCTTAAGTAGCTTAGGCTATTTCTACCCCCCCCCCTCTCTCTATCAATTTAGTTTAATGTTTGTTACATACAGCTTTAACTGTTCAGTAATTTATTATACACTCCATACCCGTGTCCGGGTAACTGGCCGATTATACCGGAGTGAGGTAACGTCCACTCACGGTATTTTAAATGCTTGTATATGTGCTGCACAGTTAATTATGTAATTAACTGTGGTGGTCCTCCTCTTGCAAGTGGTGGTTTTAAGTACATGTGGAGCTAGAGTGGCACGGAAATTATTTGTTTAGGTGTAAGGTAGCTAATTGTAGTGGAGCTAGTTGTGTGTGCGCGCCCGCGCGCCAGTTGTTTAGGCTATGGATTGTTTACAAATGGCGTTTACATAAACACGAAACGCGTACATGCCGATGCAATACGACCTGTTGACGGTTGAACCGAGCCGTTAGTGTAAACATAACGCTCATGTGACCTTAGATTATTTATAGAGGCATCAATAGTTTAAAGTGTGAGGCAATGGGTTCCGGAGACGGCTGTGGCACGGTGCAGATAGATAGGGTTGTCATTAATATTGTACTAATTTTGCATTCATGTTGATGTGTTAGCTTGGGTACACAACACTGCTGCTGCCTTGGTCAGTATGGGATGAGCTACGCGGCAGTGTTCGTGTTGCTATCAATCGCTATTGAAATGTGGCATTAACAAGGGCAGATGGGTGGGAAGTAATTAAGCTAGAGAGACGTTAGAATTTATTCTGTGGGGGTAAATAAATGGGAAGTGGTCGAGTGAGACTTCATGTATAGACTAAAAGTTGTTATTAAATTGAAAGTTGAGTGGCTAGACCCAAGAACTGAAGCTAAACCTCCACGGGCACAGGCAAGTGAATAAGTCATACAGGAACACGAACAAGGGGACACAGGTGGAAACTTAGTACCCAAATGAGCCAAAGGGACATTAGAAAGAATTTTTTCAGTGTCAGATTAGTTAACAAATGGAATGCATTAAGTAATGATGTGGTGGAGGTAGACTCCATACACAGTTTCAAATGTAGATTTGATAGAGCCCAGTAGGCTCAGGAATTTATACACCAGTTGATTGACAGTCGAGAGGCGGGACTAAAGAGCCAGAGCTCAACCTCCGCAAACACAACTAGGTGAGTACAGGTAATCTATGAGTGATGTGGTGGAGGCTGAGTGCACCAGTTGATTGACGGTTGAGAGGCGGGATCAAAGAGCCGAAGCTCAAACCCCACAAGCACAAATAGGTGAGTACATTTAAACAGCCCCCCCCTCCCCCAAAGACTGACAGGAAACACGAAAGGATCGGAACGATAACACCACACCCGCTGCCTCTTGCTCCACACTCTCCCGCTCATTGTGTACAGTGGTGAAGTACAGTCTTCGGTATAGCAGCAGTGAGCACAAGTGTTGTGAACGCAAGTCTCTGAGGAGGGAAAGCTTCAGGGTGGCTTATACCTCTTGCTGACCATTTATTTATGTAGGTTAAGTTAGCATTATAAAAGCACTTAATCACCTTCTGTGGTTGATTGTTCAAAAAATCACTGAACTTCAATCAGAGCGGTGAGCACAGCCAAGCAGATGATGTCAGTTCCGAAGACACAAGTACACTTTCTCACAAACTACATTTAAAGATCTGTTTAACAGATCTCTAACCCTGTCCCTAGAGGACAGAAGAAAATGTATATATATACTGCTTAGCATTGTAAATGTGTGGTCACGTCTGTGATAGAAAAATCATAATAATAAAAACTTGGTTTATCAAAATGGTGACAAGAGGCTTCAGAGACGATCTGTTGGATCAATTGACACAGATCCCAAGTGAACCAAAATGGTCTTTGTAAAGTCTCGACAAAGTGACATTTCTTCATTAAAAGTGGTGGTGCTTTTTTTTTTTGGCCTAGGCTACATTTGAAGTACCTTTTGGCAATATTTTTTATCAAATGTTTCACGCCTTAGTTTACGACCGTGACCTGTTCACAGCTTTATATTTATCTGAATTTACCTGAGGGCCACTGTCTAGTCGCCTCGATGAGAACAAGGAGCCGGCGGCTTGTTAAATGTCCCGTCATTCGCCCTGATGATTTTATCGAGCTGAATCTTGAATTTGCAGCAGTGTTTTGGTATTTACGGCTTGGATGGGTAGGCGATTCTATGCGTTTATAGCCATATGAGTGAAAAAGCCAGCCCGTCGTCCTATTGGTTTCCTAACGTCAAGAAAGCGGTCAATTTAAAAGTGTCACCCCAAAATTGTTCAGTATTTTATGATTCGATGTGATCAGCCATGTTATGTCCGATTTGCAGTGTGATTAGTCCTGTGGCCCCTCAACAGTTCCTGGAATGAAATGTAGATATGACAGTGCCCAATAGGCTGTGGAAGTAAGACACCAGTTCATTAAGGGTTGAGAGAGAAGTTGGCGCAAAGAGCCTTGGCTCATTCCCCACAAAACTAGGCGAATACAACTAGGTTATCTTGAAGTTATCTTGAGATGATTTCTGGGCTTAGCGTCCCCGCGGCCCGGTCCTCAACCAGGCCTCCTTTTTGTTACAGGAAGCAGCCCGTAGCAGCTGTCTAATGAAAGTCACACGATTTCTCCCTTTTCTGATGTGTGGTTTGGTCATCAGAAACTTGCCGTGTGTGGATGGATGGAGCAAGTATTGATTTATGGATGCCAGAAGGTTTTTGCCCTCTATCTGAAGAGTTGCAGGTCATATTAGTTAAGGACGTAATATATACAGGGAATGAAAAACAGACAGACCTGATGTTCCATTGCCCATCGCATTTGGACGTGATAATATTACCTAGGATTATGCCAAAAAAGGCGTGGTATGATGTCTTGAAATGCATCTTGATGCTGATTATCCAAGCATTATTGTGATTAGGAAGGAAGATAGGTGATATTGTGAACAGATCGGAGATGTATAAGATAAACTTGCGTAAATCGGATTTCTGAATGATATTTTGCACAGCATAATTAAGAAAGCTGGCCTATTGCCAGCTTTCCAGCTATTGCCAGCTTTCCAGCTATTGCCTGGCCTATTGCCAGCTTTCCAGCTATTGCCAGCTTTCCAGCTATTGCCTGGCCTATTGCCAGCTTTCCAGCTATTGCCAGCTTTCCAGCTATTGCCTGGCCTATTGCCAGCTTTCCAGCTATTGCCTGGCCTATTGCTGGAATTGCCAGCTGTGTGATGTTCTCTGGGAGGCGGATATGGGCTTTGTGAACAAGGCCATGATGGAGATGAAAGGAGTACACGAAAGACAAGTTCAGTCTAGTTTTTTTTTTTTTTTTTTTAGTGACTTGAGGCATGATTAGTCCTAGATATTGACGTGGGACGAATGAACGTGATAGACATGGGATAAAACCTATTGATCCTTCCCAAGGTCAGTCTTGGCGTGTTACGAATGCCTAAAATAGGGGGAAAGTTGTGAAAACTGAAACAATAATAGGATTGCTTTATGTATCTATGTACAGGCTCTAAACATGTCAGTATAACTATATATGAAACATTTATTGCACATCCATTCCTCGACAGATACCATACGAGGATGACATCGTGAAGAGGCTTGTGTTGGGTCAGCACCATCACCCTCAGGCTTTGCTGGCCACACTGCGAGACGCTCTCTTGACTCCTCGCCTGACTGTGTTGCACTCCTGGCCTCCCCCCACCCATAAAGTACCCCAGGTTGACCCAGTGAAGGCCCCTTTCCCCAAGCCATAAGACTGAAATACTAGCAGGCGTAGGTAGTGTCGGGTGAGGAGCGTTGTTGGGAACGCGTGCTGGACAATGTCTGACGGAGGACTGAAGGTGGAACAGCCCGTGGAGAGTGTAGAGTCTCTGTCCAGGGAGGCTGAGGGACTCAAGGTCAAGCTCGAGGAGGAGAGACAGAAGCTCAACGATGTTCCCCGTGAGTATACTGTATGGTACAACCCCCGAAAAATGCATTGACCTCCCTGCCCCCTTCCCCCTCTATCTCTCTCTCTCATGTAATGAGTGAATAGCAACAGTATCTATTCGTGACATAATTCTCCGTAATGAGGGAAGCAGCGGTGGTGGAGGCGAGTACCCTCCACAGTACACAGCCTCCATCCTGCTTTCATGTTCACCACCCATATGCCACCCTCACCTTGGTACCAACTTCTTGAACTCTTGTTAAGTTATTACGCTACCGTCACCATGCCTCTGACCCGTCGTCGGTGTACGATACCATTTCTGTCCCGCCCGGGATACGAACCCGGAATTCTCGATTGTGAATTAAGATCGAACTTGATTGTACTACTAATTCCTGGTTGATCAGTAAGGTCTTGTGGCGACCGTAAATGTGGAGGGGTATTATGCCCGGGTCAAAACAGATGGTCTGTCAAGGATGCCCTCCCTCCCTCCCTCCCTTCTTGAGTTTTTATCGAACTGAAGAACGGTCGTGTAGGATCCTTTGCAAATTAGTGCACGCACTTATAGGACAATCGCACAGTAGTCTACGTCCTCGGCTTGCACCAAAAGAACTCGGGTTCAGTCCCCGGGCAGGATAGAAACAATGCGAGGTTGCGTGTGATTGACAAAATATGAAGCTGCAATTTAATAGAATACATGAAATCAAAGACTGGCAGATTGGTTTGTGTTTACTGATATACTTGTGGGCCCGGACAGTGACGACGGTGGCTGCCCGACTGGAGAGTCTGCCACCTCTCAACATCAAGCCCAGGAGGGTACTGAAGGGACATCAAGGCAAGGTGCTCTGCTCTGACTGGTGTAATGACAAGCGTCATCTCGTCTCCTCCTCTCAGGTAAATTGCTTGAAGGACAGAAGTAGATGAAACATAGAAGTGCTTACATGTGTTCGTTTAGATGTACAATACCTAGTTAGACCTGTGGGGACTCATTTTCAACTCTTGGGGGTCTCTTCTCTACCTTAAGTCGATTAATGTACAGGTTCCCGAGGCCTTTGGGTTCGGTGACAGATACATTTGAAGCTTTGAAGCCTTTTATATCTATTAGTCTGACTCATTAAAGCACTGTACTTAGGTTCTACCTACTGCCTCTCGTTCGTGTTCAATTCATGTCAAGCATAGTGGTCTCTTTGTCTGATATTTGTCATTTTTTTTGTATGAGGTAATAATATGTCCCCCTTCTTTCTTCTCTTCAAATGACGTGTGGTTTAGTTCCTTTAGTTTAACCACTCGCAGCTAATACAGCTCTGTTTTAGGACTAGTTTGGCTGCAACGTTACCCTGCTTTGTGTTACACGGGATAGACGCTGGATGCTTGTGTGAAGGGTAGATGAAATTGTTTGTAATAATCTAAGATGATGTCTGATAAAGACCTTTTGTGCCCTCTGTAATGCTTTTGCGCTACCGCTCACAGGATGACTATGGGGTGCACAATAAACTAGCCGCCTTCGGCGGCAACAATCAATCAATTGTGCCGCTACATTCTATTGACATCGTTAGAAAAAATATAAAGGGTCATGACTTCATATTGCTTAAAATAGTCCTTATGCTTGTGCTATATTTGGGCTTGGTTGGGAGTGATTATGTGATATCAATCCCCCAAGTTTTTCCTTTGGCAGACTCAACGAGGGTTTCCTCTCTTAATTGTGTCCGGCTTCATCTTCCCAGCACCAAATATTTTTCTTGTTATTCTTTTTACTTAGAGCGTGCTTGAGTTAAACTCTAGTAGGTACTTATTGGACCATTCATTCATTGTGTGCAGGTCATCCTGTAATTTATTGCATCATTATAATATATATCTTGTGTATCCTTTGTGTCAAATATTAGAGCCACCATTTTTATTTCACGTCGAGATATGTTGTACTTTTGCTTGCTGGAGTTTGGGTTCCCTGTTACCTGGAATCCAGGTATTTCACCAAGTGATATATTTGTGGTGTATTAGATTAAGGCAAGAGTTGTCCTCCTTAAGGGAGTAGTAGTTTTATCACTTGCTATTGTACACCTTGTTCCCTGCCTAATTTGGGTTCAGGGATTAAACGTACCGTAGGATGTGGTAAGGAAATGTTACTTTTGGGAGGAGGGTTAATAAATGCGAATCAAGTGTAGATGGAGTTTTGTTTCTCCTGTAGTGCGTACAGTAGGCTAGTTATTCTCTAGACTGCGGTCCTGTATCCAGGGTGAGAGTCCGTCTAGTCTAATTCCACACCCTACTTATTATCCATCTTCTCCAGTTGTCTCCTCGCCTCTATTTCGCTCACTATTGGATAGGCCCTGTTCTGCAGTTCTGCTGGGGAAATGAATCTCTTACAAATACTGAAATAGTTCATATAATCACGAACTTTCGTGTAATTTCATGTATATCTACCTTCTCTTTTTAGTCTGATAAACTGTTCGTTCACTGAAATTTCTCTTCCGTTGTGGATATGCACAAGTTTGGGTTGGTTCTTTACCTTGGATGCCAAGCATTTTCATATTGGTTTTCTGTCTCTTCTTGCTCTCACCTACTCATTCCTCTTTCATGTTTTGCAGTGCCCTCTCTATCTTGCTGCTTATGTTTCAGGACGGGAAAATGATAATCTGGGATGCGTTCACGACCAACAAAGAGCATGCGGTCACCATGCCCACCACCTGGGTCATGGCCTGCGCATACTCTCCTACTGGAACCATGGTTGCTTGCGGGTAGGTTACTGTGCATTCTACCTCCTCTAGCGTTGCTGTCACACTAGTTATACAATTCTACCTTGCTGTGTTCCCCTAGTGACAACCACCTATGTCCATAGCGTGCTTATTCAGCTAAAAATATTAAAAGCACTTTACGTAACGCAAGAATTAAGTAAATATTGTGAAATCTATATAATTTAATCATTCAGATTGGATTTATATATAAAATCAAAAATGCATGCAATGTAATATTCTTTTATCTTTGGAAATCTTAAATTTCTTTAAATTTATCTTAAATTTCTTTAAATTTATCTTAAATTTCTTCGTGTTGTGGTGGACTGTCAGAGGCCTGGACAACAAGGTCACGGTCTACCCTCTCAGTTTTGACGAAGATGTCACTCAAAAGAAGAAGGCTGTCGGCACCCACACGTCTTACATGTCCTGCTGCACCTTCCCTTATTCCGACCAGCAGGTGAGTCTACCTCTAACGGGAATCATTCCGTCCTGTCGTATATATTACATAGTTAACATGTTTCAAATTAGAAGGTACAATTAACAGAGTTTATCTGCAATTGACAGGTAGTAATTGAATAGATTTGTTATTCCGCCGTTCTGTCATATTTGAAACAAATTGTAGGTTCATTAATCTGTAATCATATTCTCCTACACCAGTGTTGAAAAGCGATCAGGTTCCATAACAGACGTGAATAGGAGTCAATTCTGCTAGAATTTACGTACTTAAAATTATCTGTTAGATTAAGGACCTGCCCGAAACGCTGAGCGTCCTAGTGGCTTTACAAGATTGTAAATACTATGCTATATATTCTCTCTAACCCAATGTACCTTCTTTTATATAAATAAATTCATAAATAAGAAAACAGAATTGCAGCTACTGACGCGTTCATTGTTTTCTGAACCCCTAGATCCTGACGGGCTCTGGGGACTCTACGTGTGCTCTGTGGGACGTGGAATCCGGGATGATGTTGCAGAGCTTCCACGGCCACCAGGGGGATGTAATGGCCCTAGACTTGGCCCCTTCAGAGACAGGAAACACATTCGTCTCCGGTGTCAGTAACCCAATCATTTAGTGTTTATTGTTTCCCCATCTGCTTTATTTTAAGTCATTTGTGAATGGTCATTCCATTATAAAAAAGTAGATTGTAATGGTGCTTACGTATTTAAATATTTAAGCTAAACCATTCTTGAATAATTCAGGACACGAACTGTCTTCATATTTAAATTTCACTGTTTTCCAAAGTGACCTGCAAACGGAACTTGTCTCCTGAGATGAGTGGGTGTCGAGTAAGGTGTCCTTGTCCTCAGGGATGCGACAAGATGGCACTCATCTGGGACATGAGAACTGGTCAGTGTGTACAGACGTTCGAAGGTCACGAATCTGACATCAACACCGTCAAGTTCTACCCGTCGGGAGACGCCATTGCCACGGGTTCAGATGACGCCACGGTGAGTGTCCGCATGGTTCACTATTATTGGTGATAGGAAGCCTGTTGGGCTTATTCAAGTACCCCTTACACTTAAAAAAACGAAATCCTCTCAAGATAACCCCTGGCAACCCATAAGTCAAACGCCCAAACGTCTCGCTCTGGCGTGAACACAATAGCTTCAGTATTTCACATAACGAGTTCCTAATAGTGCTAGCAATTTAGCCATGATGAAATTAAACTTGCATTTCAAATTATTTAGAAATTTTGAGCTTATATAGATTTTAAATGTAGGCTCTCAAGTGTTGTAGTATAGCACTGACTACAAACACGTATGTTGGAAAGAATTGATAAAATTCACTTAAACGAAAAATTCACATTTGTATCAAATCTTGGCCTACTAACCATAAATTGTGCATTACTTTTATAAAAAAGGGAGTTAATAAGACAATAAATTCTTTATGGATCATATATTTAGTAGCATAAAACAGCTGTCTCTCTCCACAGTGTCGGTTGTTTGACCTGCGGGCGGACCGAGAGATCGCCGTCTACACGAAGGAAAGCATAATTTTCGGTGTCAATTCCGTCGACTTCTCCGTCAGTGGTAAGTGAAGGGGGAAGGAGGAGGAGAGGGGTGGGACACCTCTCTACACACCCTTCCTCCTCCCCTCCAGGTCCTTCCCCCTCCTCCTTCACCCTCTCCTCCGTGAGGAGGGGAGGGGAGAGGAGGAGGATGAGGGAGGGACACTCCTCTCCCCCCTCCCCTCCCTCCCCCCCCTCCTCCGTGAGGGGAGGAGGGGGGGGGAGGGAGGGGAGGAGGGGGGGGGAGGGAGGGGAGGAGGGGGGGGGGGAGGGAGGAGGAGGGGAGGGAGGAGGAGGGGAGGGGGGGGAGGGAGGAGGAGGGGAGGGAGGAGGAGGGGAGGGAGGGGAGGGAGGAGGGAGGGGAGGGAGGAGGGAGGGGAGGAGGAGGAGGAGGGAGGGGAGGAGGAGGGAGGGGAGGAGGAGGGAGGGGAGGAGGAGGGAGGGGAGGAGGAGGGAGGGGAGGAGGAGGAGGAGGGGGGGAGGAGGAGGGAGGGGAGGAGGAGGGAGGGGAGGGAGAGGGGGAGGAGGAGGGAGGGGAGGGGGGGGGGGGGGGGACACCTCTCTACACACCCTTCCTTCCCCCCCCCCCCCCCCCCCCTCTCTCTCCTTCCCCCCCTCTCTCTCCTTCCCCCCCTCTCTCTCTCCTTCCCCCCCTCTCTCTCTCTCTCCTTCCCCCCCTCTCTCTCTCTCTCCTTCCCCCCTCTCTCTCTCTCCTTCCCCCACCCCCCCCCCTCTCTCTCCTTCCCCCCCCTCTCTCCTTCCCCCACTCCTCCGTGGGGGAGGAGGAGGGGGGGGAGGAGGAGAGGGAGGAGGAGGAGAGGGAGGAGGAGAGGGGGGGAGGAGGAGAGGGAGGAGGAGGAGAGGGAGGAGGAGGAGAGGGAGGAGGAGAGGGGGGGGAGGAGGAGGAGGAGAGGGGGGGGAGGAGGAGAGGGAGGAGGAGAGGGGGGGGGAGAGGGAGAGGGAGGAGGAGGAGAGGGAGGACACCTCTCTACCCCCCCCCCCCCCTCCTCTCGTCCGAGAGGGAGGAGGGGGGGACACCTCTCTACCCTCCTCCTCTCGTCCGAGAGGGGGAAGAGAGAGGAGAGGAGGGGACGAGGCGGGGAGGAGGAGTGGGAAGGAGGTGAGGGGGAAGGGGGAGAGAGGAGAGGGGCGTGTGTGTATAGAGGGGGTAGAAAGGGTGGGAGGTGTGTAGAGGGGTAAGAAGCGTGGAACACCTCTCCACCCCTCTACACACACCTCTCTCTCCCTCCCCTTCTACACACACACACATTCACTCACGTGTGGGAGGTGATGGTAGTTTACTATCTGATGGTGTGGTGTGTCGCTGCAGGACGACTGCTGTTTGCCGGCTACAACGACTACACTGTCAACGTCTGGGACACCCTCAAGTGTCACCGGCTCACTATCCTCTATGGCCACGAAAACCGCGTCTCTTGTCTCAAGATGTCCCCAGACGGCACCTCCATATCCACGGGCTCCTGGGATTTCACATTAAGGGTAATAATTAGTCTCAGCCTCATCACTCTGAGGTGGTGGTGTATAAATGTAGTCAGTTTTATGGTAGATTTCAAATTAACAATATGGTACGAATGTCTGTATATATATCAGGATGTCTGCATGACACCCAGATCTACAATTTAATCTTCGGACCCCAACATTATATATACTCAAAATTTATAGTTATCTCTTTTCACTTACAACAAAAATCTAATAAACGAATATTAAATTATTATTATTTTTATTTATAGCAATGTGATTCAAAATTGTATTACTGTACTTGGTTATTTGTGGAACCCCGGTTCGACTTCACCTCTAAATATCTTAATTATAAAGTGTAGAGAAGGTCATGTTCAAATCCTTATTGAGGGTGGATGTTAAATCTAATAAAATGTAACATAAAAGTTAGTATAAAGTTTAGTTAATTTATTATGTACCCCATACCCATCTTGTGGGCGGTAGTGGAAATGGTTACAGAGGCACACGGTGAGCTCTGGGACTGAACCCTATAGTTCATTTAGCTAAGCAAGTTAAAGTCTTGACGAGCTTGTTACAGAATTCAATGCACAACATCACATCAACAATGGGTTCGAGACCGACCACAAGTACAGTTTCTAAATTAAGCAACTGACATACGTGGAGAGCTAGTGTCACAACTGATATATTTATCCTGCACTCCGCCTCCCATCCAGTGGGCAGCGGTGGATAGGTTTAGGCCTGACTAGTTTCCAGTCAGATTTACATTAATGCAGTAGCTGGAGTGCATGACTAAAGTAGTTGCTCTTGTCACATTATCAGTAATTATACTAAGAATTAAAGTTGATATTAATGACGCGCTGTGTCGCCTCTCTAAAGAGCCCCACTAGATAGTTTTATGAAAAATACCTTTGAATGGATCAATTGTTCTTTGTCATACAGACATTCGTATTTTGTGAATAATATGTACTTAAAAATATTTGTCTATATTTACCAGATATGGGCGTAATTGCGCATTCGACCAACTAAGAGGGCGGCATCATGCAGTTGTGAATTGCCCTGCCATTCGGCAAGCTGTACTATCACCCGGGTTCAGCAGGCCTCGCATGTATCTCGACTCGCTCCATGTCCAGACAGCAGATCTCACTACGAACTGATTGAGGAAAATTACAAAATAGTAACAGGGGGTAGATAAAGATTGTGGCTTATAGAGCCTATACAACCTTGATCTATCTAGTACGATGAAAGTGTGTGGTATCTCCACACACCTGGTCCCTCTCCCATCTTAACATCCAGCTTGCCTATCTCCTCCCTGTTTAAACCTTGTTTAAACCTTGTCCCAAATTCATGTAAACTGGCACTTCATTCTCCACATGACCATACCATATTAATACTCCATCCCGCTTGTGTTGGGATTTACTTAACTCATGAATGAGATACTCAGAATAGCTTTAAATAGCGTGTTGTAGTCAGATTATGGAGAGTACTCTGATATTACCAGAATTTAAACTACTACAACCTACAAATGTATTTATACAAATTATTTTGAAATGTTTATAAAATTCTATATTATACAATTCTTAGATAATTTGAAGTGCAAATATATACACCTTCTTTCCCTCACACACACACACACACACACACACACACACACACACACACACACACAAAGTACATATAAATAATGCATACATTTACATAAAGGATTTATATGTAGAAATATATTTAAGTTGATCAACCTATGTTTCTTTACCCTAAATTTGGATAAAAATTAATTTATTAAGGAGTAAGATGGAAAGTATTAGTGACTCAATGTGCTAGTAGTCGGAGAAGTGTAGTGAATGTGGTTCCGTATTAGGAGTAACCTCTTGTCATATACATCAGTGACATGTATGAGAATATTACATACCATCAAATTTGTAGATGACGCTAAAATCTCTGGTAAAGTAGGAAGCGAAAATGATACTGAGGTCTTACAGATATATATATATGCATGAACTCTTCAAATGGTCGAAAGATTGGAAAATGTTTATTATTATTGAAAAATTCAAGACCTTGCATATAGGGCAAATGCACATCACAACTGTTAAGTCAACATTACCATGCAACAGACTTATTAAGAAAAGGACCTAGAAGTCAGAAACTACCAGTCATTGAAATTTGTACAAGTGGGAACGGCAGTAAAAAAAAAAATACCCTAAGAATAGTCAAATGAATCTTTGACTTCAAGGAAAAGAAAGTGGTTATTCAACTGTACAAATCTCTGGTGCACCCTCATTTGGACTACAGTAACCATGGTGGCCAGGACATATCTGCGTTCGAGAAAGTATAACAGAGCGACAAAAATCTTAACAAAACTAAGTCGACTCATACCAGAAACTGTTGAGGACCACAGGCCTAACAACATTGCAAACCAGACATGACAGGGCTGATCTCTTCTAAACGTTAAAAGTACTAAAGAAGTTGGAGGATATTAATCCAGACCACTTGTTTAAAAAATCAAATGTAACCCATACAAGGAACAACAACTTTGGGTTCACGAAGCAACAACGTAGAATAAAAATAAATTATCAAAACAAGGCACCAAGCCGTGAAGACACTGTAGCACTGCGTCGCTGGATATGCACAAGGCGCTAAATATCACTCAAGATGCCAGAACAAGCACAAAAGGACATATGGCGAGCGAGAGCAAAGTTATTGAACTCGCCAAGGATTCTAACTTGGGACACATGACCCCTACAAAATGGGGACAAAAGGTAAGCAAGATATGCAATCAACCCGAAAATCGGGGCATACTTCAAAGAGGAGTACAACTGAAAGTGTGATGGAACAGCTATGACGAAAGAACAAAACACACGGGGCACAGAATTTTTGTAAGATTGTAAGAGTACAGGTAAAGCCTGCAGAGAAGGTTGGGGCGATATAGATGTTATAAAGAACATAATTGAGTCGACATAGTCAGGCAAGGAAGGAGACACCGGGGAGGGCAATCGAGGGTTTCAAGCTGAGGAGGGACAGGAAATGAGGACAGATGGCTCCACTGGGGAGATGGGCAAGATTGATGCCAGCTCCATATGACATCAATCGCAAGTTGGAGGATAGGAGTGTTATTCCGCAACAACAAAGTGAGATCCTCAACGTAAGGGAAGAGAAATGCGAGATGGAGGGAGGAAAGTAAGTAATTATCAAAAGAAGGCACCAAACCTGGAGGGAGGAAAGAAAACCATCAAGGACAAGGGGAAATAAGTAATTCTTCAAACGCTATCCTGGGGAACACCTCCATATTATTGAAAAAGTGTCAAAGTGGTATAAATTCTCACTTTAATTGAACGATGAGAGATAGAGTTTTAAAGGATGAGCGGGATATTATCACGGAGACCAAAAGAATTGTTGGGATAAAATATTGTGTTTCCAGGTGGTGCCATAAGCCTTCTCGCGAGCAAAATGAACGGCAACCACGGAGGCCTTTGCGGCAAAGGCAGTATGAATGTATACTTTCAAGTTCATTAGAACATATGTCGTGCTGCGACACTTGCAAAAGCCAAATTGAGAAGGAAGAGAGGATGCGTGTATTCTAAGTACCGCATTACATGGACATTGATCATACGTTCGAAAAGCTTGCAGACAACTCGTCAGGGCAATGGGGTGAAAATCCTTAGGGAAAGTACCTTGAGTACCAGGTTTCCAAATAGGAAAAATCACCACCTCAAGCCAGCCTTCGGGGACTGACGAAGTCACCCAAATACAATAATAGATATTCAGCAAATAATGATGGCACACTGAGGGAGATGACGAAGCATCTCATAATGAATGCTGTCTTAGATCAACACCATATAACAGCAGAGACAGTGCAGCTGGAGTTTTAAAAAGAGAAGAAATCGTTATAGGGAAGGCTAGTGTGAAAGACCAAGGAACGAGTTTCAAGGAGGGGCTTAGGAGTAAGGAAAGGAGGAGGATAATGAATACCGATGCTAACAGTTAAAAAATGCGAACCCAATTCGTTCGTGACCACCACCAAATCTGCCATGAAAGAACCATGCAGATGAAGGATAGGTGTTATGTCTGAAAGAAATTTACCAGCAATGTTACGGATTTTCTTCCAGATCTGAGGGAAACGGCTGTCAATCATAATAGTGGAGGCCAGATTTCCAACTTGCCCTTTTAACCGTACAGATTGGCCCCCTACGAGCCACTGCACTTGCCTTCAGAAACAAAATAAATGAATCAGTTGGCTGTTGACTTACAGCAACAGTCCAAATCCCACCAGGAAATGCACTTTCTCGCACCACAGGAGGCACTGCTAGAAACAGAGCAAAGGTCAGCGTTTAGTGGAGTCATTAAAGAAGAGGGGCTCGAGGGAGGGGCAGATTGGATAGGTTGGAATGTAGAGCGAGAAAAGATTCCAGTCCACTTTATCAAACTGCCACTGAAAGAACTGAGAGGGGAGGTGGAAAGAAGCGTGTTATGAGGATGTGGGAAATGGTCACTGTTATGGAGTCATTGGAGAACCTTCCATGATAGGTCTATATAAATGGAGGAGCAGCAGAGGGAAAAATCAATGCAGGAAAGCGTGCGTCAACATTAGTTGGCTTGCTGGATTTCAGGAGAGACAATGGAGAAGATATGATAAAAGGTTCCAGAAGACGGCCTCAGGTATTTGTCAGAGCATCATCCCAAATGGCATGTCGACATTTAAATTCACTCAAAAGGAACACAGACTCCAGTAAAAAGTCTAAGATCAGGAAGAGAAAGAGGAACATGCAATTGAGAGATAAATGGAACAGTATACCATTTACCTATAAAGATAAGAACGACAAAATAATGAACATTCGACTGAAAAGAAGAGTGGGACAAACGGAATATTATTCAGGATGAAGAGAGCATCTTTTAGGTGTCCTAGAAAAAGTTGGATTGGAGGAAAGTGAGGAATAACCGTGGAAGTGACCAAGTACAAAGCATTGGCTTCTGGAGACGAACACAAATCAGAGAAAACTGTCATATCAGAAGTTATGAGTTTATAAAAACTGGCATAGTAAATCCAGCAAAGATGGTCGAGTCAAGACAGGTGGCTGGAAGGGAAACTGATGGGGTCTGGAGAGGGAGGAGGCACCGGGGAGGGTCAGTTGAGGGTGGGTGGGTGGGTAGGTGAAGAACACAACCAGCAGCATTCACTGCATTAGGGGCAGTACCAGTAGTAGAGCTACAGAAATTTCCATAGCTCACCCGACTCCATTACTGACACTGGAGGAGAGGCAGGAACAAAAACGGAAGGGGAAATCAGGGACAGGACTGAAGCCTTCTTACCTACTGGGGAGAGGGAGAGGAACCAGGTTTCAGTTTCTGACAAGAATAGCTCCGTGCTGTACTTAAAATAAAAAAAAAAGGACGTACAGCATGGAGTTTCCAAATCAAGAATGATTTGACGTTGCGCACCAATGTCTAGGGCTTGTGATAGTATACAGAACAGCTAAGTTAATGCTTCAACTGGAGAGCCATACCATGCTAGGGCTGGATTACCTAGTAAAGAATTCATGTGCAACTATGAATGTGGCTGGTCTGGGATCACTTGTTTTATATCCAGGCAGTGCAGAGATTCCCAGTACAATGTGGTGCAGCAGTGTGATGCTCGTCGGTGAGCCTATTAATAACTTGACCATCATGAGGAGAGGCCTTGTCACTGAAGGATTGGTTGTAAGTGTGGTAAAGAGACCAGTGTGAAGACCTGTCTCCCCATTGACTATAATTCAAGTGGTTTACAAGAAAGTGAGGCATGCAGTGCAAGTCAAGTAAAGTACCCATACTCCAGTGACACCATTAAAACTGTATTAATTGGTAGCCTACATTGTAGAGCCAGAAAGTGTCCTGTGGAAGAAGTTGAAGTGACAGCCAAGTCGGTAGAAGGATATGATTCTTCCCTCAACTCCACTAGGCTTGGCGGTCCTCCAGGATTGTACTGGGGTCCCTTTGGCAATGTTGCAAAAGGGGAACGTGACAACACCAAACATCGATTCCTGGAGGCATACACAAAGCAGTAAAAACTGAGATCAGAAAATCTAGTTAATTAAAATTGGCATAAAACCACATACTGTATATTCCATTGGGTAACATAGTTAAAAAACTATAATAAAAAATAATAAATGCAACGAAAAAGACAGTACTGTACTAAGGGAGACTAGGGAACAGGTTCAGAGAAATCAGGATTGGGGAGGCATAAATAAACTCAGCAGAGATAATTTGAGGCAAAATGGTTGTGGTAAGTTAGCATAGGTGAATTGACAGGATCCAGTGAAGGATGCAGTGCAGAGCAGCAGTCAAGAAAGTAAGGCTGAGTAGAGACAGAAATGGTGGCATTCTCTGGACCAAGCATGTCACCAGAGGGGAACTCCATCTCAGATGGGAAGTGAGAACAAGAGCAGAAAAAACAAGGATAGTTGGGAGGAGGGTGGATATGAACCAGGTCATAGGCCAGGGAGGGCCAAAAGACTGAACATAGTAGCAGGAGCTCACATAGAATATAGAAGAGTGAGGAAGTGAAAGAATGCAAAAACAGTAAACAGGGGAAGGCTGGGAAGGAAGCCAGAGGAGCACCCTTGTCTTCCGGTCAGAGGAACGAAATAAATAGAGCTGGAGGTGGTGTCAGGAAATGCTTAAGGTTCAGAAATGCTTGTGGAACTGAGGAAGGGGGAGAATGGTAGGGGTAGTGTGTGATGCAATGCACAAGCATAAGTCATGCCAGAATAGGAAGAAAGAAATCAGACCTGACATTTTGCCTCCAAGTTAGATATATCCATCTCAATGTTTTAGGTTGAGGATGGATTGTTCAAATTTATAGTACATACAAGATTGGGAAAAGCCAGGGTGGGCATCACTGTAGTTGATGCAGTGAGCATGAGAAGAACAATAATCTGACTAAGAATGACTGGGATCACAACAGCAAGGGGTAAAATGACACATAACATCACATGCTAAATCAAAAGCAAAACCCATTGCCAGTAATGGTGCTATTCATACTAGTGAAGGTTCATACACTGAGGATGACAAGTGAAATCCTAAAAATGCAGTATGAGGACATGTTTAGCACTCCGATACCCCTCGCAAATTCGTAAAGTCTGTATTGACTTATTAACTACGAGCATAGGTGATATACTAAACATAATAGATACCCCTAAAAAGATTCATAGAAAACACCGACCTAACCTAACCTTGTTAGTATCTTAAGATAAGCGTCTTATTGCTTCGTAATTACAATTATTACTTAACCTATACCTATTATAGGTTAGGTAATAATTGTAATTACGAAGCAATAAGATGCTTATCTTAAGATACTAACAAGGTTAGGTAAGGTCGGTGTTTTCTATGAATCTTTTTAAGGGTATCTATTATGTTAAGTATGTCACCTATGCACATATTTAATAAGTCAATATTGACTTATTAAATTTGCGAGAACGGGTTGAACCCCAGCATGGAAGTGGAAGACCCAGACAACTTCTTTAAGCGTGATATCCAAACCCCTGTAAATGTAACTGATATCAACACGAGCGTGGCAGATTTTGAAAGAGAAATTGGCAATATGCCCATGCACTCAGCACTCATGGAATTCAATATTTATAAAGAAATGCAAAATGCCAGTAGTACAGGCACCAGTATAGTGTGGAGGAAGAACTTGGACACGGGAGAGATACCAGATCCGCTTAAAGCATTTGGTATCTGGCAGACATAGCCCCCTCTACATGAGGAAGGAAGCAAAGCATTGGCAAAGAACTATAGACCAGTTGCGCTAACGTTCCACATAATAAAAGTATTTGAGAGAATGATCCGGAGTCAGGTCACTAGTTTCATGGAAACCCAATGACCTCCACAATCCAGGCCAACATGGATTTAGACCTGAAGATCATGCCTCTCACAGCTACTTGGCCATTACGACAAAATCACTGAGGTATCAAAAAAAAACAGAATGCAGATGTGGTATACATGGATTTCACAAAGGCATTCGATAAATGTGACCATGGAGTGATAGCACACAAAATGAGGTCAATGGGAATAACTGGTAAAGTAGGACGCTGGATACTCAGTTTTCTGTCGAACAGAACACAAAGAGTAAGTCAACCATATAAAATCGAGTCCAAGCACAGTTAAAAGCTCTGTACCTCAATGTACAGTCCTTGCACCACTGAGGTACAGAGCTTTTAACTGCACTTGGACTATTTTATATGGATGACTTACTCTGTGTTCTGTTCGACAAGAATACAAAATTCTTGTCCTTATTCTCATATCATATATAGACTCAAATACAAGGCACAGCTTCGTATCATCCTTTGCAGACGACACAAAAATCAGCATGAAAATTACCTCTGCTGAAGACATTGAAAAACTACAAGCAGGTATTAATAAAGTTTTTGACTGGGCACCAGAAAATAACACGATGTTTAACAGCGATAAATTCCAGGTACTTAGATACAATAAAAATGAGAACCTTAAACATAATACAGGATACAAAATGCAATCAAGTTTGCCCATAGTAGGAAAGCATCATGTTAAGGATTTGGGAATGATGATGTCTGACGACCTAACAGAGAGCATAACCAAGCAAATATTGCAAAAGCCAGAAAAATGACAAGATTGATTACGAGAACTTTCAAATCCAGGGGATCCCATCACAATGACTGTACTCTTCAAATCACTTGTGCTGTCCCGTCTTGAGTACTGCTCAGTACTCACTTTCCCCTTCAGAGCAAGAGATTGCTGAAACACAGGGAGTACAGAGAACATATATGGCACGCATAGACGCAATAAAGCACATAAATTATTGGGATCGTCTTAAAGACCTCCACATGTACTCACTAGAAAGATGACGAGAGAGAGATCAAATATACACATGGAAAATACTGGAGGGCCAGGTCCCAAATCTACACAGTAAAATAACAACATACTGGAGTGAACGATATGGAAGAAAATGCAGAATAGAACCAGTGAAGAGCAGAGGTGCCATAGGCACAATTGGAGAGAACTGTATAAACATCAGAGGTTCCTGGTTGTTCAACATCCTCCCAGCGAGCATAAGAAATATTGCCGGAACAACCATGGACATCTTCAAGAGAAAACTAGATAGTTTTCTCCAAGGAGTGCTGGACCAACCAGGCTGTGGTGGGTATGTGGACCTGCGGGCCGCTCCAAGCAACAGCCTGGTGGACCAAGCTCTCACAAGTCAAGCTTGGCCTTGGGCCAGGTTTGGGGAGAAGAAGAATTTCCAGAACCCCTTCAAGCAGATATCACTGCTACTCTTCAAAATTCCATATCCACATTTCCAGCAACTATTTTCAGAGGCCTTATGAAATGTATTTATGGATGATGTGTCTGCCAACACCATTAATTACTGAAGATGGGAGGATCCAATAGTAAAAATCAATCCTTACTCGAAGGTATTGACAATGACAATTACGAAGGACCGAGTGAACACATCAACCTGGAGGATAGGATAACCTTGGGCATCGAAAGCATATTAAATGTCCATGGCAATCTAAGTTCCCGGTCCCCAGTCATAACATGGGGTGCCAATAATGACATTTAAGACATTTTTGGAGACCCCAAAATGGGCTCTCTCAATTGCAGGACAGGGCAGCTAGGCAGTCAGCCATCTCCTTGGAAGAGGTCTCAATGTGTGTACCAGTTTAGGTGGAAAAAAAAAGGTGCTGTAATGTGTATCCACAGTCAACAAGGTGTGTGTGTAAATCATCAGGGTGGGTAAGATCATCATGACAGACATCAAAATATTTAGTCCACATAGTGGGACCAAACAGATAATTGCACTCAACAGTTAAGGGAAATTCATGTGATCAACAGAAAGAATGGTGCTGTGGTTCCCAGCACAAAGGTCGAGGCAAGAGCAGCAAAGGATGCCAATGAACAACCAAAGATGGAATCACTCTAGGAGTGATTCTTGGAGTCATCCTTGATAAGGCTGGGAATGGAGAGGATCAATAGGATGAATCAAAGATGAACCCAGGTCTAAACCCTACAAAGCAATTCTCAACCAGACTTTGGGCCTAGTCATCTGCCCCCACAAGCCTGAGTTTGAGAAACAAATTCATTTAGCATGTGCATTCTGTTTGTAAACATTGGTTCTTGGAGCCAAGGGATACCACCTACAAATGCAACTACGGGAAAAAGCTCACATCATCCCCAAGCAGTGCTCCACCTTTTCAACAGGGCAAGTTCTAGTGCATCGAACATTCTACAACACCAATGAAAAGGCCTTTCTCCCCCGGCATGGACATTCAAATCTAATTCTACCTCCGATGGTCAAATGATCCTAACAAGTACCTTACATTTCTTTGCATGTACAATGCAGGGAAAGGGGCAGGAGATGGGGCAAAGACAACACCCCCCCCCCCACTAACCCCCAGGTGTCAAAGGTGAGCCCCTTTGCCATTATCCATTATCAATGCCTATGCCATTATCATGGCATAGGCAAAATCCTTGAAGGGCCTCAGGCAGTGGTGCTAACTTCATTTTCAATTAACAGATTGTCAAAAAGAGGTTACCAAGAATGGAAAACTATTTAACATGGTCTGTTTCAGAATATTAACAAAATTCTTAAATCTTTTGTATTCTGAAATATAGAAGACAAGCAATGTCAAAGGTGTCAGATTCATTCAGGATTTTATGAAACAAAAAACATTGGGCAAGCAAGATTTCTGCTCAGGATTTTCAGAACTTTCAACAAAGTATGCAAGTATTAGTGAGACAATACAGTTCTGACAGTAAGATGCAGGTGTAAGTTCATTTAAGTGGCCAATTTGTAACTTAGGCAGAGACTTTTTCATGTCCCTTATTATGGTGGCAGGAGGAAGGCATATAAAACAGTATGCCACCCCAAGTATCAGTGTTTTCTGGGACTGTTCTAAAAAGGAACAATACCACCATTTGCTATGCAGTAGCCTTGTTGGGATGAGAGTCCAAAGCCTCACTGCTTTGAATAGTGTATTTTCTTCAATGTTCATACACAAGAATTAGGGCACACTTGGTCAGATTTTTGCCCTTTAGTTTGAAAAGATATTTTACAGGCCATACATTTCTAAACACCAAAGACAAAATCATATTTTGCACAAAGGATTTCTTACAGAATATAAAAATTTTGAATTTGTCTGGGCCCAATGTAAAAATTACAAAACTATTTTATCATGCATTAATGTTAGTTTCATGTCAATATGATGAGCTCAAGATAATGAAAAACTTTTATGAAATTATATGAAACCCCATGGAATCCCCTACTGTAAGAGATATACTACTACATTATTGAGTACTTCTAATGGTGTCTACCTCAAAACCCATACATAAGGAAAATAATTAACCATTATTTTTCAAACTAAATTTATTCAAATACAAGTAAAACCAGGTTTATCAAGTGCCAATACTATGATGAGAGATTATACCATAAACAAGATCAATGAATACAATAATAATTCATTCTGCTCTAATAAGCCACAGTTAAGATTACTTTCAGCATATTACGATCTCTATATATTTAAGCAAGTTATAAATAGCAGTGTAGCTTGAAATGTTGCCTTGTCTCATAGCTTTAAATATACACGACATCAATAAATTCTTTACACTAGGTAAACAGCGGAAATTGTTGAAATGATAAATCTATAAATTTCAACAATTAAATCAAGATGATATATGGCCATAATATGCTGCAATTTCTCCCAACTAAGACCAGGAACGCAGCATCGTATAAATGAATACTTTTTAACGAACAACATTGGTGTGTATTTTCAATCATTTTAACTAGTTCAAGACAAAAAGAAAAATTTAAGCTGATGATGGAAGCCCACCAAGAAAATATTCACCATGAGATAGAAGTTACTATTCTAAGACATTGGCTGACATACCATATATGGGTATCTTTGGTTACAATATGTATTCCTTATTTTCCTAAATTTTTACTTTGAATAATATGGAACTAACAACTTTACACACAAATCAATTTTATGTGCGCGCACGTGCGTATGTGTGTATATATGTATGTATATATTTATGTGTGATTATATTATATATAATACACACACAGTACATACAATGTGTGTGTACAGTTGTGTACCAACATGCACAGTGTGTACATGTTGGTCCATGTATGTTTGAATAATCTAACAAGTCTGAAGTTTGAATTATATTTTATAAGGAACAGCTTACTTGATAAATAATCAAATACTAATGAACACATGCTTACTCAATGATTATATTGTATAATTAGAAGTTACTTTGCTAAATTGTATTATTCAATTCACTAAAATATCTTGTACTGTACTTCCAGTCATAATAACAATTGAATTTTACATTTTGCAAACATTAACAATAAAAAAAAATAAAATTTCATTTAGCGTTTATGATGTCAAGGTTTTTGCTTTGGTTCGACAGACTTGTGTCGCTGTCGCTGCTACCCTGAGCCTTTGACTAGGACACCCTTCTCAAAATTTCATGCCATGTTAGGAAACGATATTAATATTCATACCCAGAAAGAAATAAAAAAGGATTTTTGCTTACTGTTTTATAAATGTACCAAACATATATACTGTACTACAGTGTGTCACATTCTAGCCAAGTGGTGGGTGTTAATTTAATGTAAGGAAGCTACTACAGCAATTACATGAAGAGAATGATACGTACACGCAGAATATTTCGACCCAGCCTCCAAAAGTGATTGTAGTACTTATAGCAACTATTGGCAAAATGTACAAAAATGAACCGTTACATGCCAAAATGCTTCACGTTTTGTACTTTTGTAATACTGTACTCCTAATGTCATTCAAAAAGTTACAAAATAAACCATGAAACAAACTGTCCAGGTCAAAATAAGAGAAACTAGGCCAAATATCTGAAGCCCTAATTTAGTTCATGCATAGGGTATTCTAGGCCTAGTAATGTTCAGGTTTGGTTGTTGCCTTCTCATGACCTCAACAAAACTCAATAGTACAAAAACATGGTTCATTTTCTGGTACAATGGTCCACATTTGCATGTTCTACCAATATTTGCTATCATTTCTGAATAATAGGTGAGAATACTGACCATCATTAGTGCCGTATAATCTTGCCATTAGACTAAAGACATACTAAAATCCACCATTACACAACACATTGTACTAAGCAAAGAAAACAACAGTTTTCCAGGAAAGTTAACAGGACAGGTTAATAGTGTTCAGGATAATGAGGATTGCAGATAACACCAGGAAACTTCTAGGATTACACTTGAGAAAATGGAAATAAAACGATGAATGCCTTGCAATGAGAAGAGGAAATTTTGTGTCAATTCATTTACCGTTGGGTAGAAAAACAAACTTCTCTATCCAGGGACCCAAACAATGCATTTGCTAATCACAAAGTAAGTGATTCACTCACTAATCATTAGAGAATCAAACATTTAATCTCTTAATTTCACTTAGTGGGGAACCAAATAACTTGTCCAACTTTCCCGAAAGCAAATTATTATTAATTTAATACAGTACCATTAATCTCTAAAAGCTGAAAACCCCAATTTAATGCTGGATAGAGTGAAGCAATCATGATCTAACTTATAATTATTCCATATTAAGCAATACTAATATCATGTGGAAGTATTTTAGACTGGCATAAAAAAAAAAACTCCTGTGTCAAGAATTTATTACGATACAGATTATTTTAGAGCGATGCCTTAGTTAAAAAGACCAACCACAACACTAAAAACTACTGTACTGTACTTTCATTAAAACATTCACTCTTGAAAATATAAAAATAATACAAGCAATTTCAATTACATGTTCATCTGTATAATAAAGAATACTGTACTGCAAGATACACACATGTTATAGTGCATCAAATTCGTTTAATTTCTTTAACAAACATTTAGTATGCTTTTCTAGTATTATTTAAATTAAAACATGTTTTCAATTCATTTATCAATATTAGTAAATAATAAAACCTTAAAAAACACAGGAAGGCCTATGTAACACTAAGAATGTATCTGGCGTAATTTCAGGCAGGAAAATTTACCAACACAGTGCACTGAAATGCAAAATTCTAAAAACCAAATACTATAAGGAATATCACCAACTTCAAAGTGGTAAAACCAGAGCAGTACTCAAAAGAAACTATTTAGACTACATTTATTAATCAAATTAATGCAAAACTAGACAAACTATTAATTCAACGTACATCTACTGTACTCTTTTGACAAATACTATTAACAAGACTACAGCAATACAAAAAGCACAAGCAACTTGTAGATACTTAAAAATTACAAAGATATCCAGAGATGATTTTACTTTGGGCAGACAATTCCTTTGCACAATTTTGGCAGTCATAAATCTTTAAGTACAGTATAAATATAGAGCACAGAACATAAAATAAAGTTCATTAAACCTTGTGCTTTGGTTCACATCAGAGATGTTTATTTCAATTATGCACTGTATATGGCTGCCATACCTGGTTGTTTAGCATGCAGGAAAATTTGACCACAATTCAGCAACAGTACCATTGATACTCTCAACAATATAAGTCTCCGGGAACGAGGCCATGTTATGAAAAATAATTTCGGCCCTCCGTGCCAACAGTGTTTGGAGCGAGCATGTTATGCTGCTGTATCACTGTCAATGCCTGGCAACCCCATAGTCTACTCAAACAAGATATTCATTGATTACTTATTGACCTTCACTATTTTTGTATCATTTAAGAAATAGTGAATGATTTAGCAATTTTGAGGTGGTGGTAAACAGAACAAGAGAGTTTACGAATTGTGGTAGAGAAGCAGGGCCAGATTGGCAGCTGCAATATTTATTTATGTTCAGATATCCAAAGAATAGCAAGTACAGTAATTGTTTTTTCTTCCAGTAAATTTATAAAACAATTGATATTTTCTAAATACTGCACTGTACTTTTTTACGGAGAAATTTATTTCTTATTATAATTCTTTCACTTGCATATTTGGGGAGGACACTCTGGAGGTAAATCACCATTTCTGTCAAGCACTTAGAATTTTATGTTTACTTTTCCAGTAAGTGCCATAAATTGTTCAATAAATTTAAAATAAAAAGCCAAAGTGTAGGGATTAAGCCACAAGCAAGTTTAGAACTAAACATTGTACATAATGTATAAACATACTGTGTGCACAAATAAGCGTGTATGATATATAGAGTGTACACATTTACTTGCGATTCTACTTACAGAAATACTGCACAACAATCAGATTCTGAGGAACATGTAACAACATCGTCTACAAGTGTGCCTTTTAGGTTTTCTTTAGGCATGCCCTTAAATCAGTGTCTATTGTGAATTCAAAATGTCTTACGAATGTCACTTGAGCATCTCTGAAGAAGGCTCCAAAAAGTGTCCCTTGACAAAAGGTGTTTTCAAAAGATTGGAAATATTTATCCTAATTTAAATTCTACAGTCCAGTTTTTCAAAGAATTATACATTAAAACAATAACCAGTGCTACTAAAAAACAAAACTTAAAAAAAAAAAAATGTTCAAGTATTATACTTTGTCCAGTTTGTAAAATGGAATTTATCTCTTCCAAATTACTATGTTATTTGTCTGAAGTATTTCTGCAGCCTTTTATTACTTAGTCTATATTATATTTTAAAATAATTAAATTGGCATTTCAGTGCTCAAAATGTGCCCGAAATTCATAGCTTCTGCTAATTTTCTCTGCATCTTTTTAGTCGTCATACATTTATTAATCTGCCGATAAATATTTGACATTAAACTTGCATTTAAAAATCATTGAAATTACGGGTAGATATTTTTACAGTGAAATGAATATAACTAATACTGCACAACAAGAAGACATGAATATGCAAATATGATTTTGGTAATTTTCAAACTTTACAATATTTGACATGTCTAAGAACAACTTTCATCACTGGCAGCCCATCAATATATAACCCTTATCTGGTTACAACAGCTACAGTATAATGTACCTAATAAATATCAACATGAAACGAACACTGGTATAATGAAAACACCCCACAAAGATCTAGGAGTGCTTGCTGACAGGAACACGGTAAATATGTTATTAACCCATTTACTCAAGTGATGGGCTGCACTCTAACACCCTCTGAAAAGGTATATTAACCAAATATTTAAGCCCTGTAGCTTAGTTTCCACAAAGTTTCTCACCTTACTGTTCAACCACAGCATTTTCAGCTTGATCAAGAATAGTTTCAAAGGCGAATGGAACAAAAGGATAACCAATGCCTCCATAGAACTTGCTCTGGAACTCCACCCTGGAAAAATTTGAGAACTCAGTGACTTGATACAAAACTTATATTGTAAATAAAATATTTTTAGACAATTTTTGATGTACCAAAATGTAATACCTGAAGTGCATGATACCATCTTTGAAAGGAAACCATGGTGATGCCATGCCAAAAATACCGTACAGTACCAGTAACTCTAGCACAAATCAATAAAAGTGTGATTTCTGTACTGGCTTGGTAATATTTTAAGTTCAGTTTGTTAAGGCACAGGAACAAACTCTTAAGAGGGTTATAATTGTATTGTAAAGTTCCATGCACCACATATTCAAAGAATTTCCGCATCTCGAGTGTAACATTAATATTATATATACAGTACGGTACTAATAAAAAAGTATGCATTGCCCTGCTCGAGGCAGCACGAACATATGGCATAATAAGAATGATGGTCTTGTGGGTGAATTATTATTAGACAGCAGTGTGCTATGGCTACACGACATTATGTAGGCTCTGAAGTAAGCACATCGTATATACAGTGGTTATCTTGAGAGGTTATTTTGAGATGATTTCGGGGCTTTAATGTCCCTGTGGCCCGGTCCTCGACCAGGCCTCCACCTCCAGGAAGCAGCCCGTGACAGCTGACTAACACCCAGGTACCTATTTTACTGCTAGGTAACAGGGGCATAGGGTGAAAGAAACTCTGCCCATCGTTTCTCGCCGGCGCCCGGGATCGAACCCGGGACCACAGGATCACAAGTCCAGCGTGCTGTCCGCTCGGCCGACCGGCTCCCGCTGGTACCTCAGCTTACGAATTTAATCCGTTCCCAGAGAGAGTTCGTAAGCTGAAAATTCATAAACCGAGGCCAATTTTCCCATAAGAAATAATGTAAATTGAATTAATCCGTTCCACACTCCCCAAAAAATTATCTTTCAAGTTAATTTTATACCTAATTCACCCAAATCTTCAGTACTAAAGTATGTACAGGTTATTGCTGACCTTTACTGATGACTTGTTGGCGTATGGAAGACGGTGAGGAGGGGGGAGGAGAAGAGGGGTTAGTCTTTGAAAGGGGAGTCCCCTTCCATTATAACATCAGGCAGTGATGACTTCTCTGGGGTACACACACTGGCACGTTTTGCCTGCATACAACTAGGATCTGCTTGTGGCTCATTACTTGATTTTTTCACTAAAAATCTATCCATAGAGGATTGTTTTCCCTTCATTGTAACACTTGTCTGTAGCGAGGCATCACTATCAATAAAAGGTTAATGTCATGGCATACTACAGCTTGCTCTGGGCGAGTCATTTCAACAAAAGTTTACATATCTTCCCACAGTCTACACCACTTCCTAATTGTTGAGGAAGGGACATTCTGTACGGCTTCCTCCTCCCCTGAAGACCTCTCCTCAGCTATCTTCTGTTGCTGCTCCTTGTGAAGGGCTAGGAGTTCTTCGCTGTGTTCCTCCATGAACTCCTCCACATCAGCACCATCCAACTCCAAGCCCAATTTCCAGCCCAGAATAACAATTTCCTCAACAATAGGCACTTCAGGTTCAGGCTCAAACCCCTGAAAGTCTAGTTCTAAAACATTCAGGCCACAATTTAATGATTGAATCTTACCACTGACTTTCTTAGGACCCATGGCGAGATATATAATAATAACTTATGTTCAAATACCCAAAAGTCCGAAAAACACAAATTCTTTACAAAGAATTCAGGCGTGACTTTCACTAGGCGGAAGGCACTGGTAAACTGAGGCGCGGTCGCTGTACCACCATGTGCTAGGTCGGTTATACGCATCAATAAACCATTTCCCCGAGGCAAAGTTCGTAACCCAATTCGGATTTTATGAAGAAATTTGGCTCGTAACGTGAAAAGTTCGTAAAGAGGGGCATTCATAAGCCGAGGGGTCAGTGTTTACGTTTTAAAGTACTGTGTAAGATTTAAAAGTCCTGCAGCTACACGGTGTTTACATCAGCTTCCACAGGCCTCTGGTAAACAGACACCATTTCAATAAAAATCGTAGATACCATACAACCGTGGATACCATGAGTACCAGGGGCCTGACAGTCGATTGGACAGCGCTTCGGATTCATAGTCCTGAGGTTCCTGGTTAGATCCCTGGTGGAGGTAGAACCAAATGGGCAGAGTTTCTTTCACTCTGATGCCCCTGCTCACCTAGCAGTAAATAGGTACCTGGGAATTAAGACAGCACCTAGAGGCTGCTTCCTGGGGGTGTGTAACAAAAAGGAAGTCTGGTCGAGGACCGGGCCATGGGGACGCTAAGCCCCGAAATCATCGAGATAACCTCAAGATAAGATGATACCATTCCCGGGTAAGAAGGTCTCAGTACCGAGTGAGCAACCAAGGCTGGCAAATGCAGCATGAGCTAACAGCACTGCTGTTTAGCTTGTGACCACAACATTACTTGAAATGTCAAAATATATATGTAACTGCTATTATTTAGTGATGATAGTATTACAGAAGAGTGTGATAAAGACTCTGTACATTGGGGTTCAGATATCAGTGAACACAATGCTGGTAAAGATGTTCACAATGCTAGACAGGTAGCTTAGTCAGTCACAAAGCCTCAAAGCAAATCACATTTACATACTACAATTACTTTTAATTTTACATTGCAAAGCTGAATTTCTTTTATTTCTTGTATTAAAATCTTGTTATTGATGAGCCCCTTCTAATTTACTGCTTCAAGTAATCTATTACCAGTACTAGTACTTGCTACACTGACTTGGTAATGATGCATCAATCTGTTGATTTTTATCCCACTTCGGCAAAGTTCTATTAGAAATCCCTCGTGTAGTTAAGAATATAACCTCCAGAGATCACCATTACTTTCATTATTATTACCTCATTCCCCACTATTGAGGGATGGGGAGGTACAATGGAGAAAAAATGAGAAATTAACACAATCTTTATTGATATTGAGGCTAATTTTGTATTCTGTAGGAGGAAATTTTGATGAAGCTGGGTATCCAGCCTAATCTCCCCTCCTAAATACATAGAAAATGCAAAAGTGATTGTGCCATATAGTGAAACAGTAGGGTCACCACATCCCTTCATCAAGCTTGGCATCACACCAAGAATAATTTAGACATTCAGATGAAAGAAGCAACGTACCAGTGCAATCGAAGAGTATGAAGGAAAGCAGAGAGACCTTCCATCAGTACAAGAATGGCAACAGTCAGTGTTGCCCAAAAAGCAAAGATCACAAACGTGAGTATGCCTCCACCCACACCATCTCCTCCAGCTGTAAGTCCACTGCGCAGCACCATTCCCCACAGTACTTCACTCAATTCTGTAATATTGATTGATTTATTAATGATTCGGCATTAGCACATAAAATTTACAAAATAGATCAAAATTTAAAATATGAAAATTAGCCTAAGAAATTACAGAAATACAAGTGATGAGGGTAGTGTTGAGGATTCAAAGAACCTGTCCAGAATAATAATGACAAATTTGCTCTACAATTACCTGGTAACTGTACATTTTTGCTTAGAGGTTATAACACTTTATCCAAAATAAATGCGTGGGCAAAATGTTTGTAAGCTACATGCAGTAGAGTCACTTACGTGCATGAGCTAAAGACAGTGCCCAGAGTCGAAGATAGGAGGCAGTATGTGACACCGAGCCCAAGACGTATTCAATGGTGTGGATGCCTTGGTGAATACATATTTCACCCATGTCATGCTCTGGTGCCACTGCTACTGTTGCCTCCCCACCACCTTCCTCCACTATACCCTCACCCCCATTGGCCTGCATCACCTGTGAAAGAAAACTATTTACAGTATTTGGGTAGCTATAAAATGTGGAAAATTTTTTTTTAATGAAGTCAGGGGATAGAGAAAATAGTGCACATTCATATTAGAGCATGGGTGTACAACTTTTTTTTTATTTATTTTTTTTATAATTCATTTATAAAGCCTTTCAGAACAGAAAGGTTGAGCCTTCCTATTCTCTTTGTGATTGACACTATTCTATTAGTGAATATCTTTAAGTGCCTCCATTTGGATAAGTTTTTTTTTTTTCAAGTTTCCCTATCTATGGTTTTGTATTTCTACCTTTCACTCGACATCATTTATTTCTTTTCCCCAATTTAGTCGTTTACCCATTTTTCCACACTTGTACTCTTATTTTTGGAAAATACAGGGGTACCTCGGTTTAAGAATTTAATCCGTTTCTGGAGACGGTTCGTAACTCGAGAATTCGTAAACCGAAGCGAATTTCCCCATAAGAAATAGTGGGAAATGGATTAATCCGTTCCTGACTCCCCAAAAACTTCACTACAAAGTAAATTTTATACCTAATTCACCCAAATCTTCACTACAAAAGTATGTTCACATTATTACTTACCCTTGCTGATGACTCCTGTTGGCGTATGGAAGATGGTCAGGAGGAGAGGTGTTACTGTTTGGGAGGGGAGTCCCCTTCCATTATAACATCAGGCAGAGAAGATTTCTCTGGAGTGCACTCTCTGGCGCGTTTTGCCTGCATTCCACTAGGGTCTGGTTGTGGCTCACGGCTTGATTTTCTCACAAGGAAACGTTCCATTGAAGATATTTTTCCCTTCTTTGCAACACTTGTCTGTAGTGAGGCATCACATTGTCATTAAAAAGATTAATGCAACGGCCTACTACAGCTTTCTCTGGGTGATTCTTTTCAGCAAAACTTTGCAGTTCTTCCCATACTGCACACATTTTCTTAATTAATGAGGAAGGGACATCCTCTACTGCCGCCCCCTCCTCCTTCCCCCTCAAGATTTGTTGTACTGCCAAGCTAGTTCAACACGTGTACCATTTTCATGTTAACGAATGATCTCTTGTTTTTCCTCTATGGTCATTCTCACGTGTTTTCTTGCCTTGAACCTTACCACTGGCTTTCTTGGGACCCATGATGATATATATAATAACTTTTATGGTCAAATAGCCAAAAATCCAAAAAGAAACTGTAAATCCTTGCGAAGAATTCAGGTGGGATAGTCATTGGGCGCGAGGCACTGGTAAACCGAGGCACGATCGCCGTGCCACCACGCGCTAGGTCGGCCGTACGCGCATCAACAAACTCGCATCCCAAGGTAAAGTTCGTATCCCGATTCAATTTTTCCGAACAAATCGAGTTCATAACCGGAAAAGTTAGTAAACAGGGGCGTTCATAAACTGAGGTTTACAGTGAAACAGATAGCAGTGAAGCCCATTTTATCCACAATTTTGAGGCACAGTTCCAAGTGACAAAAGTTAAAACTTAATATATATTAAACCACTTTTTCTCATCCAAGCTTAACACTTTCGCTGCCCCGGTGGGCAATCCCACCATGCACCTCAAGGTAGGCCGAGGTATGCTCATACTAGGCTCCTAGTATGGCTACCCTGCACATTCA